GGAGTCTTAACTACTGGACTGCCAGGGACGTCCTGAGCTGGCCTTTTCAACTTCAGTTACATTCACTGAATCCAGACATAATATGTATGCCCTGATACTGACCTTAGAACTCTTATTTAATTAACAGACTTTTTTGTTTTGGTAAAGTTTAAGGTTTACAGAAGAACTGAGCATACAGTACCAAGAGTTCCCATATACTCATCCCTACCCCAACACACGCTCAGTTTCCCCTATTCTTACCATATATTAATATAGTGTGATACATTTGTCACAATGAACCAATATTGATACATTATTATTAACTGAAGTCCACAGTTTATTCAGGTCTTCTTAGTTTCTACCTAATGTCCTTTTAGGATCTCATCCAGGAAACCACAACAGTATATTTAGCTGTCCTCTCCTTGGGCTCCTCTTGGCTGTGACAGTTTCTGAGACTTTCCTTATTTTTGATGACCTTGACAGTTTCAGGAGTACTGGTTAGGTACTTTACAGAACGTCCTTCAATTTGGGTTTGCCTGATGTTTTTCTCACAGGTAGACATGGATTATGAGTGTTTGGGAGGAAGACCTTGGGAAGAAAGGACCATTCTCATCGCATCATGCACGGGTACATACTAACAACATGACCAATTGGTGTTAACCATGATAACCTGGCTGAGGTAGGTTTCTCCACTACCAAGTAACTCTGCCCCTCCCTCCTTTCCATAAGGAACCCTCTTGTAAGGAAGTCATAACTATATGCAGCCCACACTTAAGAGTTAAGTAGTTATGCCCTCTAAAACTTCTTCACTTACGTTTTTAAATATAATCCTCTCAAAAGGCCTATAGAGATGAAAAAACTAAGTCTTAGAGAACGCATTTAAGGTTACAGAGCTAAAAAGTGCTAGTGTTAGAAATCAAACCAAAGCTATCTGAATCCTAGCTTAATGCTCTTTTCAATGTAATACACTCAATCTCAAGGGCACAAATTATATACTAATAGGTAAATTTCAAGCTTCACATTATTCAACCACTAGTCTTTTTCCCTACACTTCCATTTAGTTCATCAGGTTTGTTTCTTTGGCAGAGTTTACCCTTTCTATTAACTCAATCAACTTCCACTCCAAAGCCATGCTATTTCCCTCAGTTTTCTTTGTCTGAGAGAAACAAAATTATTTTTTAAACTAGGTCCCAGAAACATCTTTCCACATCTCTGAACCTGCCCCATAGAAACTGCCTGAACTACCTTCTCAAGTAATTTGGTGTAATTAATGAAAAAAAGCACTGGGCACTAGTTTTATTTAAAAAAAAAAAAAAAAGGAAAATGGAAGGCTGTATAATACAGTGGGGTTTAGTGCTTAGACTCTGGAGTCAGAAAGTCCTGAGATCAAATTTCAGTTCCATTACCACCACTTTGACTTGGAAAAGTCACTTCACCTTCTTAAAACATCACTAGCCTTATTTGTAATCCTAGAAACTAATCTTAAAGCATTCAGTATGTAAAAGAGGTATCTATGCAGTTTTCCATGCAATATCTGCAAAATGAAAGCTCTATGATTTATAGATTAGCCTAATTTTTTTTTTAAAGTTTAAAGATGAACTTGGAACCTACAAAGTTCAAATTATCTTGTACTTTTGGTAACAGAATAGTAGGGAATCTAGTTAAACGAACAATAGTAATTACTTTGAATTGTGCACTGCTTTCAGTAAAATACAGGTTTTTCCTGAAAATGGGATGTATTTTGCACAATTCCTCTCTGGGACAAGTGTCAGAAAAAGTTTCCCCCAAAAGTTAAGGATATACTAAGTTTATTACATTCTTGTACTCACCAATACAGCTAATAAAGGACTTGCTGAAAATCCCTGTTAGAGGCCTAATCACTCTTCTTCCAGAATCAGTAACAGTTCTTCATAAAGTAAAGCAGCCCAGCCATTCAAGGGTAATTAATCTATTGTAGCACTCCAGACAAAAAGCAAGCGAGAAGCAGAGAGGAAATTTCAACTGGAAAATATTTTGACGTAATTGACCCAGATGACAAACTAAACTTAAGCGTATGTCAAGTGTTACAGTCTGCACAAAAACACACACAGATGCCAAAGGCTATTAAGAGCCCACACAAGCCAAGGTGAAGTCTTAACTCTGAGTAAAATATAAATCTTGTAATCACTGTTTAGAAAAGATGCCCAGGGGAAGATAAAGGGTTCTTTCATAAACTCAGAGAAAGAAATGTTTAAACTTTTAAAATTCTTTATCTTTGGAATTAAAGGTAATCACCATTGCAAAAAGTGTTAGGGAGTTTATTCTTTCAATACATGCAGAACACTTGTGTTTCTCAAAACCAGAGTCTACCTATTTTTTTCTGATCACTTTCAAAATGTGTGAGATTTGTTATTTCAAAAAGTTCAAATTTAATTATAACACTTAAATCCCACAGAAAACAATTATCTATGTTGGAAACAAAAGATAACTTTTTCTTTGTAGGAAAATAAAACTTGAAAGAATACAATATGAATTCCTAACTTCTTTGACTTGATATCCTCATACATATATGGTATGATATAGCTATTTTAACTCTTCTCATAAGCATTAATCAGACCAAGATGAAAGGACCAATGGAAATGCATAAAAAAGCAAATATTTTTTGTGTTCCCAACTTTTTCTTTTGTAATTTATAAACACATAGGAAAAGTTGAAAGAATAGTAAATGAACACCCATTGTTCACTTAATATATCCTCCATCCAGATTCAAAAATTGAATAATACTGTCAAAGTACACTAAATTGTATAATGAATAAAAGTCCACATTAAATAAAAATTAGTAGTAAGTAGGATATGTAATAATCCCTAAGCAAGTACAAACTCAATTTATTAAGAAAATTTCTTAATATCATTTATCTTTTGTGTGTGACATAAAAGAATTAAATAGTTAATGAAAGGTGCATATAAATTAACACATAGCTGATTATTTTACATGAAAAAAGAGTCTTCCTCATTTTCTCATCATGAAAAAAGACAAAAGTGAAACTGTAAAGTTATGAAAGGTTTCATATGCAAAAGCAGTTATAAATATATTTCTAAGTAATCCTAGGATAGGCCAGAAAGCAGTCCTGGTAAGCACCTGGAACTGTTATCTTGGATCACAAAGGAGTGAGATACTAATTTGTAAGGAAATATATGTGCTCTTTCTTCCTTGACATTCAAGTGTAAATAACTGTGAGCTAAATGCTCATTAAATAAGTTTTAGATTTCCAGTAGACAGGAAAAATTCAATTATGAATATACACACTGTGGAAGGCAGGCACAGAAAAATGGAGATGACAGAAAAAAAAGAGTAGGAAATGCCAGTAAAATGACCATTTCCACTACCACAAGACAAGAGGACAAGGACCAAAGAGAAATCAAGATGTCTCTGGAAATTTCAAAATCACTCATTACTCCAACATTTAAAACTGCAACCTTTAAAACTATGGTAATGATTCAGCGTAACTAATCATAGTGACAATGGTCCCCTCCCCAAATCCCTATCCAACGTCTTCTACAAGATAATAAAAAACAGGCAAACACTAGTGATTGTGAAGATACTGATTCTTAAAAAGCAAATAGCCTAAATACATCTAAATATCATTCCACAAAAAATTTAAGTATAGCTAATCCTTGAAAAATGCGGGGGTGAGGAGCTCTGACCCTCCATGCAGTCAAAGATCTAAGTATAACTTAGTGTAACTTATAGTCGGCCCTCCATTTACACAGTTTCCCCATATCCGCGGATTCAACCCACCTCGGATAATGTAATACTATAGTTTTACTATAGAAAAAAAATCCATGTATAAGTGGAACCACACAGTTCAAACCCACGTTGTTCAAGGGTCAACAGTAAAGTAAAAGACTGACACTCTGAAATAGGTTTTATACATTCAACCTGCCAATGATTTCAATGTTTTAAGATTAAAAAAACATACTTTATTACAAAAAAAATTCCCTGACAACATCAAAATAAATTATCATGTACCTTTTCTGAAATGACTTTGATAGTTAACATATTTAAATATGTATTTTTGCGATAAAGTCTACAGAAATGGATTTAAGGTTTTATATATACATATACATATATACTAAAATATATATATATATTTAGTAAATGGATATATTATCATGTTACACAGAAGTTAATAACAAAATTAATATCTAGTCCTATAGTAAATGCAAAACTACATATCAGGTAAGATAATCTATCCCAAGTAATAGGGCAGGGCAGTAAACAAATAAAATATGCATGTGTGTGTTTCAGAATATAAATAATGTATATATATCTTCTGACTGGGAAAGTGTTTTTAAAAAATTTATTTTCGGGGACTTCCCAGGTGGTCCAGTGGTTAAGAATCCGCCTTCCAATGCAGGGGACACAGGTTTGATCCCTAGTTGGGAAACTAAGATCCCACATGCCGCAGGGCTACTAAGCCCGTGCTCTCTACAGCCCATGTGCCGCAACTAGAGAGCCCGCATGCCACAACTACTGAGCCCATGCGCTCTGGAGCCCGTGTGCCACAACTAGAGAAGTCCACGTACTGCAACAAAGAGCCCGTGTGCTGCAACTGAGACCCGACGCAGCCAAATAAATAATGAATATTAAAAATAAAATGATTTGTACCATATAAGGTATTTGATTTCTTTTAAAATATTATGTTTGTAAATATTAAATTTATTAAATTCAATCAAATTTATAATGAAGTCTTGGTTAAACAAAAGTGATTAGTACAATTTAAAAGTGTAGAAACTAAAGAAAACTGGTTTCTATTACACATGTGTGTAAGAAATATTGAGAATCAAGAAACTAAACCATGATTTGCTGATTATAGGCACTAATTTATCTCCCATCTCCCTATATTATATTGCCATCAATCTCAAATAAAAATCAACTACTCCTTAAGATGGCCTTTTATGCTCTCCTAAGGGTACGAATCAGAGGATTGGATGGGGGTGCCTAGAAGACAGAGTAGCAGTTAAAAAATTTAACACCCTACCTTTACAGCTAGGAAATTCAGCCCACTCTCATTGGCCAAAGCCTTTGCAATCATTGTTTTAGAGCATCCAGGAGGCCCATACAAAAGAACTCCTTTAGGTGGCTGAATACCCATTTGGGTGAAAGACTCTGGATGTTTCAAGGGCCATTCCACAGCCTGTTTCAGCTTCAGTTTGATATTTCCCAGTCCTCCTATATCTGACCAGGATACCTGCAAAACAAACAAACAAATAATAAAAATTTAAAAAAATATATATGCAAGAAGGAAAACAGAACTATTTAAGAATCAATAATTTCCTAAAAATAATTTCAACAGCATCAAGAAGTAAATTAGGAGTTTATAAAATGTGAGCTGTGTATTATAGAAATACTAAAGAAAAACAAAATGTTTCTGTTTGCCAAGACTTGTATAAGTAACTGCTTCAACGATTGAACATTCTGATAAGTCTATATTCTATTCTATGTGGCTGTAAAAACTAACTTTCATCTGTTTGAAAATGGTTTGAATCAGTGATCCAAGGTCTCATCTATATATCTAAGTTCATGTATTTCTTTTTTAGCAAAATTACTTTTAAATATCTTCTGTAGGTCCTTATGGAACATGTAATCTTTTCTGCCTTTGGTATATTAATAAAGAATCCTCAAAATTTTGTTCCCCCCAAAAGGCCCCCCAAACAAGATAGCTCTTTAGATATTTACTTAATAAATATTCATTGAGAACTACGTACCATATAGTGTACACAGGAAATAGATAAGACATAAATCCAGACTTTAAAGAACTTAACAACTACCAGTAACATGCACATAAATAACTATAGTACAATGGAAAGCATACTAACCACAATAACAAAGAAACAGAAAAAGACTTTGGGACTTCCCAGGAAGAAAAGATTATTCCCAGCTGGAAGGCAAATCTGAAAGCCAACTCTTGAAGCATGGATGAGATCCAGAAATGTGAAAATAGGGACAATGTCAGATAGAGGCCAGTGAGAGGCCCAAAAAAAGGGGGTTCCCTTTTCTCCACACCCTCTCCAGCATTTTTTTTTTCTTTTGCAGTACGCAGGCCTCTCACTGTTGTGGCCTCTCCCGTTGCAGAGCACAGGCTCCGGATGCGCAGGCTCAGCGGCCATAGCTCACGGGTCCAGCCGCTACGCGGCATGTGGGATCTTCCAGGACCAGGGGTGAACCTGTGTCCCCTGCATCGGCAGGCGGACTCTCAACCACTGCGCCACCAGGGAAGCCCTGTTTGTAGATTTTTTGATGATGGCCATTCTGACTGGTGTGAGGTGATATCTCATTGTAGTTTTGATTTGCATTTCTCTAATGATTAGTGATGTTGAGCATCCTTTCATGTGTTTGTTGGCAACCTGTATATCTTCTTTGGAAAAATGTCTATTTAGGTCTTCTGCCCATTTTTGGATACCTAGGAATAAACCTACCTAAGGAGACAAAAGACCTGTATGCAGAAAACTATAAGACACTGATGAAAGAAATTAAAGATAATACAAACAGATGGAGAGATATATCAAGTTCTTGTATTGGAAGAATCAACATTGTGAAAATGACTCTACTACCCAAAGCAATCTACAGATTGAATGCAATCCCTATCAAACTACCAATGGCATTTTTCACAGAACTAGAACAAAAAATTTCACAATTTGTATGGAAACACAAAAGACCCCGAATAGCCAAAGCAATCTTGAGAAAGAAAAACAGAGCTGGAAGAATCAGGCACCCAGACTTGAGACTATACTACAAAGCTACAGTAATCAAGATAGTATGGTACTGGCACAAATACAGAAATATAGATCAATAGAACAGGACAGAAAGCCCAGAGATAAACCCATGCACATATGGTCACCTTATTTTTGATAAAGGAGGCAAGAATATACAATGGAGAAAAGACAGCCTCTTCAATAAGTGGTGCTGGGAAAACTGGACAGCTACATGTAAAAGAATGAAATTAGAACACTCCCTAACACCATACACAAAAATAAAATCAAAATGGATTAAAGACCTAAATGTAAGGCCAGACACTATCAATTTTTAAATTTTCTGTTGAACCTTTAAAGTAGGCTGCAGGTATGACACTTCTAAATACTTTAGCATATCTCTCATGAAAATAAACATTCTGGGAAGAAATTTTTAAGGAAGGTAGTCAACAACTATTAAAAATTAATAGATCAGAAAGTAGAAAGAATTAAAAAGAAATGGTCAGTAGATCTGGCAATGAGGTTACTGGATAGTGGTTTAATTCAATCAGTAGAGTTTATTTTTATGCCTTTTAAGAGTGGCATATATACATACACACAATACACACATACATGCATACACATACATACAGGCATACGCATGCATACATACATACATAGAGGGACAGTGTGTGTGTGTATATATATATATATATATATAAAATGGATAAAAGCTGTATTTATAACTACCATAGATACACAAGTCAGGGAAGCAACTTATAAGAACTAAAATTACACTATGTTATTGTTATGATGCTGCATGATACCCATTCAGTTGTTACTATGCAACTATTATACAATGAGAACAGCATGCTCTGTTGGAGAACATGCTCCATGAGAAACAGCTATTCCATACCTTGGAGCATATTTGAGTTATACCTTGAGTACTATAGCAGAATATTTAGTTAAGCTAATTTAATAAGCACACATATAGATAAAATTTTCAAGATTAGTACAGAACTATATCCTTCCTAATTAATAGCATTTAAAACAAAATACAATGATATGCCTATAAATGGCTAGGAGGATGTTTTCCTCAGATATATATAAAACTAAATAAACCTGGCAATATGATAAAATTTGGTATTTAATACATTTGAGTGTGTTTGGTTTTTAATCAGTCTTTTAAAAAATCTTTAAAAAGAGTCATTTAAAAGAACCTAATATAAGATATTAAACTCACATGGAACACACATGGAAATCACCAAAATAAAAGGAAGTCCATATCATAAAAAATGATCTCTTTAGTTAGGGATCAGGGAATAGTAGCAAACAGTGTCAGCTGGACCAGGAGCTGAAGAAGGTGTGTTCCTCAAGAGAAATTAAGATGCTCTTACCAGAAAACTGAATGTTCACTGGACATGGAACAGGCCAAAACACCAATGCCACTGCATGGACTAGTAGTCTATACTGAGGAGTTGGTCCATTGCCCTGAAGGCTGTAAGAACCAGCAGAAAAGTGAAACAATCCTATCCCCTTCCTATCTCCTGACCTTCGGGGCTCTTGCTTCACCAACTGTCTCTCTCTATTCCTGCTTTAATTATATTCTTCACTATATTTTTTCCTCAGCCTACAAATATTTCCTTTTTCTCCCCATCCTTCAAAACAACCTTACTTTGATATTATTTCTACCTAATATTATACCTCCTCCTTTCTCATCATTAAACTTTTTGAAAGATAGTTAGTACCCCTCTACTTCTATTGCACTTATATTTTCCACTTTATATTTCAGTTAAGTATTTATCCCCCCAAGCAGTGATAGGAAAGGAGAGTAAAAGATAAAGATAAAAAGTTTAAGACTGGCAGGAAAGCAGGGAGCTAAGGGCATTATGTCAGAACATCTCTAGACTCTCAGGAAAATTTGAGGCAAAGTCATCTGCAGAAACATCAATCAATCTATTAAATACTGACTAAATGCCTATTTCATACTATGCTGGTTCCTGGGAACAAAATAGTTCTTGTCCATACTGAGTTTTTGACCTGATGGAATATTTCCTTAAAAAGGCATACTTTCATAATTATGCAATTACTATAAAGCCTGGTATATGCTAAAAGGGTAGTCACAGAGTTTAAATGGACGGTCTGGAAAAGCTTTTCAGAAGTGACATATGAGGTGGCATCTAATAAACACAGAAATTAGTCAGCTGAAAGTAACAGCAAATGCCGTGGAAAAGACAAAGGTAAAAAAAAAAGCATTATACATTAGGAGAACTAAATAAAAGTAATTAAGGAACAGGGGTGCGGAGGGCAAAGCGGAGAGATTCCCGCATAGAGGATCGGTGCCGACCAGCACTCACCAGCCCGAGAGGCTTGTCTGCTCACCCACCGGGGCGGGTGGGGCTGGGAGCTGAGGCTCGGGCTTCGGTGGGAGCGCAGGGAGAGGACTGGGATTGGCGGCTCAAACACAGCCTGAAGGGGTTAGTGCACCACGGCTAGCCGGGAGGGAGTCCGGGGAAAAGTCTGGACCTGAGGAAGAGGCAAGAGACTTTTTCTTCCCTCTTTGTTTCCTGGTGCGCGAGGAGAGGGGTTTAAGAGCGCTGCTTAAAGGAGCTCCAGAGACGGGCGCGAGCCGCGGCTAAAAGCGCGGACCCCAGAGACGGGCGGGAGACGCTAAGGCTGCTGCTGCCGCCACCAAGGGGCCGTGTGCGAGCACAGGTCACTATCCACACCCCTCTTCCGCGGAGCCTGTGCAGCCCGCCACTGCCAGGTTCCCGGGATCCAGGGACAACTTCCCACTGAGAACACACGGCACGCCTCAGGCTGGTGCAACGTCACGCTAGCCTCTGCCGCCGCAGGCCCGCCCCGCAGGCAGTGCCCCTCCCTCCCCCCCCAACCCCCCGCCCCCGGCCTGAGTGAGCCAGAGACCCCCGAATCAGCGGCTCCTTTAACCCCGTCCTGTCTGAGCAAAAACAGACGCCCTCCAGCGACCTACACGCAGAAGCAGGGCCAAATCCAAAGCTGAGCCCCTGTGAGCCGTGAGAACAAAGAAGAGAAAGGGAAATGTCTCCCAGCAGCCTCAGAAGCAGTGGATTAAAGCTCCGAAATCAACTTGATGTACCCTGCATCTGTGGAATACATGAATAGACAACGAATCATCCCAAATTGAAGAGGTGGACTTTCAGAGCAAGATCTATGATTTTTTCCCCTTTTCTTCTTTTTGTGAATGTGTATGTGTAGGCTTCTGTGTGAGATCTTGTCTGTATAGCTTTGCTTCCACCATTTATCCTAGGGTTCTATCCGTCCTTTTTTTTTTTTTAATTTTTTTCCTAATAATTAATTTTAATAACTCTATCATACATTACTTTCTTTCTTTCTTTCCTTCCTTCCTTCCCTCCTTTAGACAAGGAATCATCCCAAATTGAGGAGGTGGACTTTGAGAGCAAGATTTATGACTTTTTCCCCTTTACCTCTTTTTGTGAGGGTGTATGTGTATGCTTCTGTGTACGATTTTGTCTGTATA